CCCGGTAAAGTTTCGGAAGATGGTTAAGACGCCGTTAGAAAGAGAAAGGGTTGTAGTAGTAAAAGATATAAAAGAAGATTTGGAAGAAGAAGAGGAGGAAGTGTCTTAAGATGAGTTTGAAGAGGAAGAATTAGAAGAACAAATATTTGTGTATTCAGAGCTAGAAGGAGTAAGAGAAGAAAATTATAAGTTAGATTGGTTAGGGAAAGAAAAAAACATTGCGGAAAATAGAAAGAAATATTTTAAAATGAAAGAAACTGAAAAACATAACCTTTGGCCTGTGACATGTCTCGTCTCCCTGGAAAAAGAGAAACAAAAGTATATACACGACCTTTTCGACTACTATTACGAAAATGAAGTTAGATTAGGTATTAACTACGAGATTGGAGAATTAAAAGAAGATCAAAAAAGACATTTACAACAATTACTTGATCAAAACGTTGAGTTATGTGCTCAAAGTATCTATGAGTTGGGACGAACAAACATAACTCGTCATACCATTCCCACTCAAAAGACTTTACCCATCTGGCAGCGTTCGTATCGATACTCCCTAACCGAGAAAGAATTCCTGAAAAAAGAAATTGAAATAATGTTAGTAAAAGAAATTATTAGACCTTCCTCAAGCCCATGGACATCTCCTGTAGTATTAGTTAAACAGGGAAATCGAAAAATGCGTTTTTGTATTGATTATCGGAAGTTAAACGCAGTCACTGTAAGAGACAACTACCCCTTACCACGAGTAGATGAACTATTAGATGCTTTGAATGGGGCATCTTGGTTTTCGACGTTAGACTTGGCCAGTGGGTACTGGCAAGTCGAAATGTTGGAGGAAGATAAGGAAAAGACCGCTTTTATTTCTCCTTATGGGGTCTTTGAATTTAACGTTATACCTTTCGGCCTGATGAACGCCCCGGCCACGTTCCAAAGGTTAATAGATCAAATCTTTAACGATTTGATCGGTAAGTTCATCGTGATATATCTTGACGACTTAAATATTTTTTCAAAAACTTATGATGAACATTTAGAACATTTGGCACAAGTTTTTGAAAGACTAAAAAAGGTTGACCTAAAAATTAAGCCACAAAAATGCCATTTCACGAAAAAAGAATTAAAGTTTTTAGGATACGTCGTAAGCGCCCGTGGTATATCAACTGACCCTAACAAAGTACGGGCGGTTCAAGAATATCCTAGACCCAAAAATTTAAGACAGTTACACGGATTTTTGGGTCTGGTATCCTATTATCGTAGGTTTATCTCCGGATTTACTAGTATCACTGTACCCCTAAATTCATTATTAAAGAAAAACGTAAAATATTATTGGAGTCCCGAATGTCAGGAAGCCTTTGAGAGATTAAAGAAAAACCTTGTAACCGCGCCAATATTGGCATATCCGAACTTCACAAAACCATTTATACTGTTCACTGATGCTTCCGATATGGCCTTAGGTGCCATTCTTTCTCAAGAGGATGATGCCTAGAAAGAAAGGGTAGTTGCCTACGCAAGTCACTCTTTAACCCCTGCTGAAAAAAATTATTCAGTGACGGAAAAAGAGTATCGATACGAACGCTGCCAGATGGGTAAAGTCTTTTGAGTGGGAATGGTATGACGAGTTATGTTTGTTCG